GCCTCTGATGACGTCATAATATGCAAATTAGACGAGTATATTTACACCCCACATGAACTTTCGGTCATGCCCAACATTTTTCTAATTTACAGTAGATCTCTTATCTTTAAGCCCTTTCAAGCCACAAGCTTTTGAAATCTTGATGTCAAAATCCAGCATTTTTCTCAAAAATCCCTGGCGCCTAAAGGGTTAATACATTATTGCACTTATCAATTCATTGTTAGACTATGCATTTTAAATTTGGTTATAATTATTTATGACATGTCATGATATAATGTATTACAATGCACATAATGAATAATTATAATGCAGGTATACCCTTTAATAGCCCATTATAATGCATTATACATATAGGCTGTAAGTAAAGTGTTACCCAAGTCTATAAGTCTTTCAGTATCTCTGCCTCAGGTATAAACTCATTGCAAAAAGTATTTGATAATTGCAAGGTTTACAAAAATATAAGGTTTCACCGTGACCACCCACTTGAGAGTAGAAGCCTCATCCTGTTATTATGTACATGCCACACATGCTTTCAGATCTGGAGAACTGCAGTTGTAGGACTGGATAAACTCAACTGTGTGAAGCATTGATGACAGACAGACAGGAAGAAAGCAATGCGAGTGTACTTCAGATACATAAAAGAGTACCTCGGGACACAGAAACATACTATTTAATATGTATTTAGTGGTGGTTTATGAACGCAAACTAAGTGCAGATTCAGACATGCATTTGAGGTTAGTAGACCAAGACTGAATGTGAGAAGACGTTTAATGTATGGCTGGTTTGTGGTATTTGCTAAATTATATAACAAGAACATACATATGTGACCCTGGACGACAAAACCAGTCAAAAGGGTCAATTTTTTGGAAATTGAGATTTATACATCATCTGAAAGCTAAATAAATAAGCTTTCCATTGATGTATGGTTTGGATCGGACAATATTTGGCCAAAATACAACTATTTGAAAATCTGGAATGTGAGGGTGAAAAAAAAAAAAAAAAAAATCAAAGTATTGAGAAAATCGCCTTTAAAGTTGTCCAAATAAAGTCCTTAGTAATGCATATTACTAATCGAAAATTAAGTTTTGATATATTTACGGAAATTTACAAAATATCTTCCTTCATGGAACATGATGACCCCTTTAAATAATTTTAATATGAATTAGTTCTTCATATTGTCGTTTTGGTTTTGTTTGATACAAGTATATTTGCATAATTTTTTATAAAAAATTATTAAAATAAATTTTTTTTTTTTGAAATTTGAAATAATATATTTCAATTTGGTGGTACAAAATGAATACAAATGTATTTTGTATTTTTAATACAAATGTTTATTGCATTATTTCTAATAAACAATACAATATAATATTTTTAGTGTCAAATGATTAATCGCGATTAATTGCATCCAAAATAAAAGATTTTGTTTACATAATATGAGTGTGTACTGTGTATGTTTATTATGTATATATAAATACAAACACATGCATGTGTTTATTTAAGAAAAATGTTGTTTATATATATATATACACACATATATATATATTGTGTAAACAAAAACGTTTATTTTGGATGCGATTAATCACGATTAATCATTTGACAGCACTGAATATTTTAAATTAATTTGTTCTTTATGTTAATGTTTTAGTGGTTTAATACAAAGAATATAAATACTGAAGAAGAAAAAAACTTTAAACATCCATGAAAAACTATCACATAGTCACGACATGTCTAGAATTCTTACCAGAAGTAGTTGCAGTTTGTTATAAAGTTACCAACCACTTGGCAAGTAAATTTTTTTCTCCATTGTATATACTTTCCAACGTCTATTTTTTAATGAATATACTACACATGTCCTGTGATGTTTCTGAATGCTATTTTCTTGTTTGTTTACAGTACTGATTTTACTTATAGTTTGCACAGAAGAACAGATTATCAGAAGTCATTTGTGTATTTGATCCACCGAATGAATTCATTTCATTTTGTTGTTTTCTTCTCTCAGGATTTACGGGTGAAGCTGGAGCATGAGCGAGAGAAACGGTGAGTTGGAACGTTCTCATTATTTCTGCAGCTCTCTGTCCTGTCCCTGATCTCATTCCTCTCGTCTTATCCTGGCTCTCATTACGCCATTTCTAAGATCTCTCGACACGGGGGAGAACAGAAAATATGCCAAGCTGCCCAAAAGAACCGGAACGTTCCTTTAAAAGTATTTTGATATTTAGACACGGCATTTCACACACATTTTGGTACAGTTTGGCAGACGGAGACAGAGGAAAGAGGAGGTTAAGCCGAGTGTTTGAGCTCAATGGCACACCCAATATTAATTTTCAATGTCCTGTAGGTCATCCATACTCCCACACACAGAACATGTCATTTTTCCCTTCTCAAGACTGCCAAATGCCAACACGTGAGTCTTTGCAAAGTATATCCATATGTGTTTTCAGCAAACTTGTACTCCGGTATTTTCCCTCATATCAAGCCAGTGTTTCTGCATAGGAATAATGTATGACATTGACAAAGCTTTGTTTACAGGAAGAAAGTGAATCCATGTTATTGTCAGTCAGTACCACGAAGCCCTGTTGCGTCACACTTTGCTCTTAAAGATTCCCAGAGGTCCGCCGTGTGTGTGAAATGCCTCGCTGGGTTATGTCACAGGAAGTTGGCGCAGCATTTGAGGTGACAGGCAGCTGGGTGTGCTGCTTTCGTAGCTCTGCTTGGCTGCTGTGGCACAAAATCTTTGTGTTTAACTCTCTTCTGTTCTGCTTCGGCTTTAAGCAGAGATGTATGAGGAAGAGGTGATGGACCACTAGTGGATAAATCAATGGAAGTAATTGGGTGGCTATAGAAAACGACATCCCACCTTCAATCAGAATAGCCATTCTCCTTCATGTCACGTCGTTTTGCTCTAGAAAAAAAATTAGATATATTAGATATTAGATATAGACTCCCAGATATATTAAATATAAAGGCATACATATTTACACATTTTCATGTCTACAGACCCATTCATACTCATAAAAACATATTCTAAAATAAAACGTTTGACTTTTGTTTGTCCACCTATTGTTAGAATATTATTAAAACATTTTCTATTCAATACAAATTTATTTGTATTGCATTTTTCACAATAAATATCATTCCAGACTCGCACAAAGAGCTAAATGCTTGCAAATACATTCTGGTTGCTCTTGTATTCAAAGCAATTTTTTTTATTTGTTATTGTTAAAATGTTTATTTTTTTTCTCTCAAGTTTTCCGTAAACCCCCAGCATGGCCCCCCTTACTTGCCTTAAATGGACTTTGTTTTTTAAGGAAGCTTGACATCTTGGCATTTCCTTAACTGGCCAGGGCTCTGTATATATCCCTTCTCTCCTGCACCGTTTTTCTTCACTAAGAGCAAAAATTAAAATGAGGGACAAATTAGTATTAAAATCTGCCTGTATATTATTGTTTGAGTAAACCGTGTTATCAGTGAATCTTAATAAACCAGCCTGGCCAGATGGTGGGACTTCCATCCACTCTCATGAATATGCATAACAAGTTTTTTTTTCCACTGTGAAAATTGCATTGTGCACTGGTTTATATACACGCAGCTTAAAAAATGGTGTTTAATAAGAAAGTCTGCTATGTTCAAAAGTTTTTTTTTTTAATTAATAGTTTTATTTAAGAAGGATGCATTCAATTGCCCGAAAGTCAAATAAATTATTTTCTTTTTAAATTCATATTCATCAAAAAGCCTGAAAAAAAAAATCAGTTTCCACAAAAATATTAAGCAACACGCTTGTTTTCAACATTGATGATATTAAGAAATGTTTCTTGAGCAGCAAATCAGCACATTATAATGATTTCTGAAGGATCATTTGACTTTGAAGACTGGAGTAATGGCTAGTGAAAATTCAGCTTTGCATCACAGGAATAAATTATATTTTGAAATATGTTAAGATAAAAAAATGACTACTTTAAGGTGCAATACTATCTACAATACAAAACTACAATGTTATTGTTTTTACCACGCCAAACTTTTTAACAAACAGCAAAGTCTATTCAATCTATTTCCACAACAACATAGTAATATCACTGTTTTTTTGCTAGTGCCATTAAAGTTGTTTTCATTGCGTTACATCAGAAAGTCGTAAAATGTAACTGGCATTAAACTTGTATGCGTATAACTCACAGCACACATTATAAATCAACACACTTGCGCCCACAGTAATAAAAACCTCATCAGAACAGGCATTAGTTAACAGACCAGCCTAGTTGGACACACTCAAAACCGTCTTCCTCTGGCAGCGACTGCAACACCGAGACAGGAAGGAGGAGAGCTTGCCATGCCAAGAGATGTGATGTGGCCAAACCGAGGCGCTTATCTGTGCACGCCGAGGAAGGAAAATCATCTCGTACTCTACATCCTCCATTTCTCCAGTCTTCCGCTATGATTTTCTTCCATCACTATCTCAATGATCGGCCAGTGTAAACAGAGCCATCGCTCAAAACCCAACAAGCAGCTTCATCAGAAGATCTGACAGCTAAACGGCATCCAGCTGATCTCAGATCAGCATAAAAAGCTTGATTTCACCCATGACAGATGTCCCAGTTGTTGTTGTTTCCCATAAACGTCTTTAGATGAGAACCAATCAGCTGTCATTAAGTTGGAGATGCAAAAACCACTAATTGTTAAAGTCAAAATTCGTTTGTTAAAGAGAACAGTTCCTCAAAAGTAGTTGATATGAAGTGTTGTTGTTTTTTTTTTTAATGAATTTTATTCACCATGCAAGGACGAAATAAATTTATCAAAATGACAGTATGGCAGTAAAGTAAAAAAAAAAAAAAATGACATAGGCTACATGACAGTAAAGACTTTTACTTTGTTACAGAAGATTTCTCTTTCAAAAGCTGTTCTTTTGAACTTTATTTTCATCAAAGAAAAATGAAAAACAAAAAAATGAAAACTGTTTTCAACACTGTTGAATAATGTAAGAATAATAAATGATTCTTGAGCAGCAACTCAGCATATTAGAATGATTTCTGAAGGATCATTTGTAAACTTGTATTTAAAAACCATTAATGGCTAAATTCACAGATTGTTTATTAAAGTTAAAGATGAAGGTTCTTCCAAAGCTTTGTTTTAACAAATTAAGGTAACAATTTATAATAAGGTTCCATTTGTTAACTTACATTACTTACATAATTCAATGAAACATACTTCTAAAACATTTAATCTTAATTACTATATTATAAACTATATTTACTAATACATTATTAAAATCAAAAGTTTTATCTGTTGCTATTATTTACTAACAAAGAACAGTTGCATTTTTATTAACTAAAATTAACAAATATTAATAAATACTGTAACACATGTAAAGCTCATTGTTCATTAGTGTTAGTTAATGCATTAACTTATGGGACCTTATAGTGAAGTGTTACCAAAATTAATATTTTTACACAGCAAAGATGCATTGAATTGGTCAAAAGTCATAGTACCGCTGTCAAAAAATATTTATATATCAAATAAATGCTCTTCTTTCTATTCTTGTGAACTTTGATACAGAAAAATCACATGATAATGCTTCATCAAAAGTAATAGATATGAATTGCTGTGTGTGTCTGGCAAAATTTGGCTGGTGTGCTAAACTTTGGAGGAGGAGGGGAAAACATGCTTCCTGCTACTTCCAGCGCTGCTCCACTTTTTTTTCCTCTTTCCTCTCAGGAAGCGCTCCATCTGCCTTTCTGTGTGTTGTGATGTGGGCCTCGGTGTTGAAACAGTGGTCCGCTCTGCTTGATTAGGCCAAACACACACTCATGCACATTCAAACTCATCATGCTTGCCTTGCATTATAATCAAGCATGCACACAAACCAATTTACACTCTCAGTTCCTTTTTCTCTCGCCCCACATGTTGACACACACTCTAAACATAGTCACGCACGTTAAATAAGCAGAGACACAGCGTTTATGGTCTGTCCCATGCATGACTACACCATAAATGGCTGTAGAAGTATTGAATCGCACACATCAGCGGTGACGCCTTTCCGTATGCTGATTAATAATTCTGCAACGTCAGATCACTTTCCACTCATGTTCAACTGACCTGTCCTTCATCACCTCTGTTGCTATGGCAACGACCCCAAATGTCAGGATGTGCCCCATGATTGGAATGGTGCCATCATGCACGTCCACAGTACCATGTTTACATACTGCTTACGTATGGACAGTGTAACTAAAAGAAAGGAATGTCCGTTGTACTTTAAATTTGCAGGTGCCTTAAAGTTGTTTTGGTTTGACCAGACTTTTTCTTCTCTTGCTCTAGAATCATTCCGTTCCAAAGGCCGCTGAAGTTCAAGGATCTGCTTCAGAAGGTGACAGAGGCCTTCGGTCAGCAAATGGACCTATACTACACTGATAAAGAGGTGGTGTATTGATCCTAGTAGCTTATTATATTTTTTCGTAGTGATAGGTCAATAGATATGAGCCAGAACGATTAATCAGCCCATATTCGGTCATTTTGGTATTACCTGCATCAGCCAATAATTGTGCCTGTTGAGTTTGTTAACAAAAATGGTAGTTTGTTTCACTTCCCAAATTCACTGATTTCACAGTGAATAATGCAGGTAAAAAGTTGTAAATAAGTAATTATTTACATGCTGTCATTAAAGCAAAAATGGGATTTGTTTTATATACACTACTGTTCAAAAGTTTGGGGTCAGTAAGATTATTTTATTTAGTAATTTATAAATATTTTTTTATTTAGTATTAATTTAAGAAGTAAATTCTTTTTTCAGCTAGGATGCATTAAATTGATCAAAGTGTCAGTAAGAACATTAATGATGTTACAAAAGATTTCTATTTCAAATATATGTTGTCATCAAAGAATTCAGAAAAACTGCATCAATGCTTTCACAAAAATACTAAGCAGCACAACAGTTTTTAACATTTACAATGAGAAATATTTCTTGAGCACCAACTCGGCATATTAGAATGATTTCTAAAAAAATCATGTGATGCTGAAAACTCAAACTAAAGGACATTTTTAAAAATTGAAACAGAAAACAAATGTTTCAGATTGTAATAATACTTCACAATGTTACCATTTTTACTATATTTTTATCAAAAAAATGCAGACTTGGTGAGCAGAAGAGACTTTGAAACATTAATAAATCCTACCGACCCCAAACCTTTGAATGGTAATGTAATGAAAATGATTAAATTATAAAAGAATGCAAAATGGGTACAGGTTTCACACTTTTGCACCCCACTTTATATCAATTTTATACTTGCCCCCTGACCTTTATCTCAGTATATCAGCTTTTGACACTACATATCAATTACTCTTCAGTTACTTGTGTTTAGTATTTATACTTTGCAGTAAGGATCTCTGCATTTTATTAATGACATGTCTGGTCTTAGATGTTGGTGGCTCTGAAGTGTCAGGAGGATTTGGACCGAGCAGTTCAGGGATTGAGCTCCAGCTCTGGAATGAACAACCTACTGAGAGTGATTCTGAAAACACCTCCCAACAACCAAGTGAGTCCAAGCCAAAACAAAGCAAAGCGACCCAAACCAAAGCCAAAACCAAAACAACACCTAAACCCAAACGGAAACCCTAACCTGTACATGAACTAGTTCTCAGACCACAAGTTTACAACACACATCCTTTACTCTTAAGACCTTTGTATTATTCAGGTAAAATAAAGAATGCTACATTTTGTTACATTTAATTTTTAAAAAATTAATTATAATATTTGTTATACATTTTGTTTATAAGTTATTAATTGTATTATTATAATAAATATGAAAAAATATTTTAAATATGTATTTTTGGGAAAAACTAAAATATTCTGTATGAAAGAAAAACCTTAATTAAGGATATATTCTCTCTTAATGTCTTATATAATTTTGCCTCTGATGCTGTTTTAAGGTTGCGTAGATGTTTTTATTGAAAAACGAACTATGTATTTTTTAATTTTAGCAGAATTCGTTATATATGTCCACCTCTCCACAGTTCCTTCAGGTGAGCGGCCAAGACAAGCAGAGCGAGATGAGGTCATCCAGGTCCCTGGGAGATCTCAAAGCCTCGGTTCTCAAAGGCTCTGAACGAGTGCGCAAACACTTAGGATGATTTCTGGCGGATTATGTTGCATGAAAATCTTACCAACCGCTGAACAGGATGAACTTACTTGAACAGGAAGTAGTCCCCCCCATCGTGTAATGCATCGTGTTTCCTTCTGGAGCATCAGTGAATGTTTGAAAATTTTTTAATAGTTGTGTTTGAGTCCCTCAATTGTCCCCAGTGGGAAAAGATGGATCTCAAAATCATACAGTCACTGCTGGAAAGGGTTCAAATATGCAAAAGATCTAGGATGATTTCTGCTTGACTTCTTTTTGTTTCTGGCATCCTGCACTCTGTTATTAGTTGCTGTGGAAGTATTACTATCCCAGACTTTTTTTTTTGCATCAGACTGTGTGATGTGTCATGCTAACCTCACACCGTCTGTCTGCAGGATCTCTGAACACGGGCCGCACCTCACCCCCTCCGGGCAGCGTACCAGAAGAACAACAGCAGATCGCTCGGCAGGGGTCCTACACCAGCATCCACAGTGAAGGAGAGTTCATCCCAGAAACGCTCGACTCCAATGTAAGCCTTGGTTTGGAGCTGTAGATTACAGCTGTGATTAAAGTTACATCAAGACTTTTCACAATGTGCTTTCACACATTCCACATATTTTTAAATAGACACTTTTAACACTTTAAGCAATGATTCACACTTATACACTGATTTTAACCCTGGACTATGAGTGTTGGTAGCAATATTATTAGCTTAAAGGGTTAGTTTACCCAGAAAAGAAAATTCTGTCATTGATTACTCACCCTCATGTCGTTCCAAACCCATAAGACATGTTCATCTTCGGAACAAAAAGTAAGATATTTTTGATGAAATCTGAGAGCTTTCTGACCCTCCATAGAGAGCAATGCAACTGAAATGTTCTCAGACCCAGAAATGTAGTAAGGACATGTAAGTCCATGTGACATCAGTGGTCCAACCGTAATTTTACAAAGCTACGAGAATACCTTTTGTGTGCAAAGAAAACAAAAATATCGACTTTATTCAACAATTCTTCTCCAAGTGACCATCTTCCGCCATTATCGAGAGTGCCATGATGCATCAGTTGACTGGATAGTTTAGATACAGCAGATTTAGAGCTAATTAATATTACCTCAGTTTTACCAGTTAAATTTAAAGTAATTTGCCTCCAGCCAAAGATTGAGTTCCTTGATGCAAGCTGTTAATGTAGGGGGAGGAAACACTGAAGTGGAAGGTGTGCTTAAATAAATCTGAATGTCATCAGCATAACAGTGGAAGTTAAACCCATATTGTTTGATTAATTTCCAATTGATTACATATAAGTAGTGAAACGAAGAGGGCCCAAGACAGAACCTTGAGGTACGCCAGAACTGATGGATTTTGTGGATGATTTGTGTTTCTGGTATATAACAAATGTATTATAATAATTTAATTTAATAATTGTTAACAAAGTGTGAAAAGTCCAATGAAAATAAACAATAATGACTTTTTAAGGTCTCTCATGTTCTTTTGCCCTGTACTTTGACTTGTATAAAGTGTACAAGATGTCACTGTTCTGTGTAACTGTGCTCTTTATAACAGTCTGGGGAAAAGGAAGCTCTGACATATTATGGGCATTGGTTCATGGAAAATCTTACGTCAGTTTTCAGGTTAAGATGCACAAACCATAATGAAAAATGTAATGCAATAAAATTGTCATTTATTTTTTGTCTGTAGATTATGGAGCCATTTGGGAGTGCGAATGGGTCACTTTCCAGCAGCTGTCAGTCACTGGACCAAGCACTGGACAGGTGGGCCAAACACCTCTATATTATGAACTTGTGTGTGTATTGGGATGAACAAGACTACATTTTTTAAAAGACCAGCCTACTAATTGGAGTTTAAGAAAGCCTGGTATTTACATTTAGCAGATGCTTTTATCCAAAGTGACTTACAAATGAGGCACATCACAAGCAATTTTTCATACAAGAGCCAGCAATACTTGCAATACTGCAATGGCACGTTTCAAAAACAGTTAGAGGGTGCACAGCAGATTGAAACAGAAATGGGATGTTTTTAAAGTTGAATTTTTATTAACTTGAAACAACTTAAAAACAATGCACAAACGGTCAGAACCATGATGTCTGTCTTTGAACATACAGCTATAGTGATGGCAGGTTTTATACTTTTTTTATTTTGAATTTAGATTTAATTTTTTATTTATTTTCAACTTATTTTGTTGAACTGTATGTTTATTTTAGGGATGCACGGTATCGGGCCCGATACTGAGCTCCTGTACTCGTACTTGTACTCGTCCATTATCAAGATGAATATGTTCTGACACAGTTTAACTCTGAGTGCTTGTCATATTTTATTACCATTTTCTAAACTATAGCGAATAAACTGTGATAATGTGAGAAATGTTGAAGGTGTCTGAATAAATTTTGGTTTGACTGTATCTATTTGATAAATGAAGTCAACCAACTAACAATATACATAATCTTTTGGTTTCTGTACCCAATATTTAAAAAATGTACAAATGCAATAAAATATTGGTATCGGTACTCGGTATCGGCAAGTACCAAAAATAAAAGTATCGGTATCGGGCGAGTACTAGAAAAAGTGGTATCAGTGCATCCCTAGTTTATTTCATTTGTCTTTTCCTGTTTTCTCTTTTTTGAAGTTTTTGAATAAATAATAACTAAAACTATTAATAAAATTATCTGAATCATTCTTTGAAATAAAGCTGAAATAAAATAAAAGACGAATATTAAATGAAAAACCTAAATTAAAAAAAAAAATGTAATGTTGCCTTGGCAACTACCGGTAATTGAGATATAATAAGCTGAAATACTAAAATGACTAAAATAAATAAATAAATAAAGCTATAAAATAAAAATTTGTAATGAAAACTGAAAACATGAAAATAAAAGTATATGAAAAGAAACAGTATAATAGTATATAAATTATACTAAAACAATTTTGCTGCAAAAATTAGTGTGTAAACTGATAACATTTAAACATTTGGTTTTACATTTCTAGTGTTTTCTGATGCCATTATTGAAATAATGTTATGACATTTTGTAAAAAAAAAAAAATGTTTTAAAAATGTTTTTAATACTAAACAAAAATTAATTATTGGGCTTTTTAAAATTTCTGTTTAGTTTATTGGAGTCATATTTTATTTGTTTTAGTATTGGTTTTTCCAAATTTCATTTATTTTATTCTTATTCTTATTTTTTTTTAAGTTTTCAGTATTTAGCCACTAAAATATCAAAAATAGTCTCACTGATTGACTAGCTGTTGGGCATTGTTTTAAAAACAGCAGAAATACAGTCACATTACTAAAATGTCGTTTAGTATCGTCACTACTTGTAGTTAGATGAAATCAAACTAAAAATGCCTTATTTATAGTTGTCACTGCATTTAAATGGAAGAATGTTTTTGGACGATGGAAGAATGTTTTTTTAATGATTCAACAATTACTCACTTCACCTTTAAAGTGTATATTATAATAATTACGGGTAGGGATATCTGATAAGCGTACCAGCTGCCCAGAGAGGAAATGGAATCAGGTCGTCACAGAGGCCAACCAGGAAGCCCTTGATGTCACTATGGTGACAGCTTACTTATCAGGACGCCTGAATTCCAGTGCTATCGCTCGCCGCCTCTGCTCAGCTCAGAGAGAGAGAACGAATGAGACTGAAAGAGAGGAAGATGGAGAGAGAGTGGGTTGATCTCACCAATCTATTCTGCTCTCTGTTTCCTGTGTGCTATTGTTATAAAAAGAGTTGGTCAATAATGCAGTGTGAAACAAAAAACGGGAAAAAAAGAGTGAGAATGAAAGACAGGAAAGTGAGAAAGAGCGAGAGAGAGAGAGGGAAAGAGAAAGGAAAGCCATGCTACCTGCACGAGCCTTATCTGGCTTTTAGCCCTCAGAACAATGGCAGGAAACAAGTGCATGGAAATTTTTCCCCTCATACGGGTGTGTGTGTGCCCATTATCCGGGATCTCGCCAATCCCCCCGCTCCGTACCGACAGGGATAACGGGGTCGGGGCAATAACAATCACTTTATGTCTCTCTGCACATTAACTCATGACTTTTTTGTTATTGCCATTGCCTGTAAGAGTTCAAAAAGTTTTTTTTTTTTTTTTTTTTTAAGTAAATGGCTCCTGCAAGGTGAGCCGAAATCTTAATGTCAACATTAAAATCAAAATCGTTCCTAATTACTTTTTTAATTAAACTAATTTACTCTGGAGGTTTCTCTGTGAATGTTATTCCTGCAATATTTCATAAAAATATACCAAGTTGCTCCACCTCTTAACACTAGAACCGCCAGAGGTCGCTGTATACCTAAAAGCGCCAGCGGGTAAATTTTACCCACGCACATGACAGCTGTTTTTGAATGGCTAAAGAACATATTATTTCACTGTATTATGCTACTGTCTTCACAAAGAAGTGTCTAGAGTCATGAAATTATTATGTCTAGTCATCAACTATATTTTTGTCCTGTTGTTTTATGTTCAAGGCTTTTTTATGCAGGCTACACTAGTCACTTTTCATAACGGTCAATATTAAGCTAAACAAGCCTGCACTGACAACGAGAATTAGAAGGAAGTAAATACATATTTAGGTGGTGTAACAGGCTATTATAATACAATGTAATTAATCAATATATTAAGATACCTATGTTATTTAAATTACTAAAATAGCCTATAGACAATAATGAGCAATAATAGGCCTAATTCACCACATTGCATAGGATGATGCCATGACAAATTCAATCTTCACCTAATTAATGATTAATTTGTTTAGTTATATCATTTATAATTTGAATTATACAAGAAGAACACCAATAAACTTCGGGTAATAAAAAAAAAAAGGTTTTATTCATTACATCAGATCGGATTTTTTCTTCTTCAGGAAACAGGCAGACAAGAATAAATAGCAACACAGAAGCGAACAATAAACAATAGAAATGACAAAACAAAAATTAAATAATCCAAATTTTGAACAATTATGAGTAACTTTAGGATAAAACGTCTAAATATGATATATTGATCGCCGTCAAATGCTGAGCCGACAGGACGCTTTACTTATCTCCCCACCATCAGACTCTCCATCGCTCATTTATGAAACTAATAACCGCTAATTCAGTGAGTGAAAGGCGTTGCCTAGCAATGTACTATGTTAAAACATAAGCGGCACGAAAATGACAGCGCAAACATACAGGCATTATATAGCGGGTACATTGGTAAATTTGACCCGCGCTGGCGCTTATAGGTATAAATGCCCCGTTTTTTGATCTGGTTTTATCTGAATAGTTTTTAACAACAGGGGATTGTAAATCACACAATTTTAGTAAAAGTCAGTGACTGGGAGACTTGAATGTTTTATTAAAAATCTTTTATGTACATTTTAAAAACAGCCACTGGTAAAATTTACCCTGTGGCGGTTCTAGTGTTAAATGACTTTATAATTGTGCTGACATCATCAAGTCCTCTTATTAGACCCCACCCCTTTAAAAGGATAAAATCAAGTCTTGCTTGTCATTTCAGTCTTGTTGATTATCCCGTTTTAACACTGAAATGCATATTATTCAAATAAACAAGTTTGCGATTTGCTGATTTATGTTGACTTTAAGCACACATCTTGATTGGCAGAGGCAAGATCAGTGTCATTTTTTACATCATCCTCGAGTGCTAGAGCTTCTTTGTTTTGTGAATCAATGCCAGCTACAGCTCACATTGATTTAAACAAAAAATAACCTTTGCTGTCTTAACTACCCACAGCTGAGCGAGTGATGGCAGATTGGATTTAGTCATTTGTTTGCCTGGAAAATATGATTAATCTGTTTCTGAATCTGTTTTCTGCATAACTGAGGCATCACTGAGAACTTTAATGCTATGCAAATGCAGTTGAGTTAAATACCAAATGAAATGCCATTTTTAAAAAAGTCAGAATTTGGGAGAGCGAAAATATAGATTAATTCTGAAGCTTTTATCGTTTATCATATACTGTTGTTCAAAAGTTAAGGGTCAGTAATGTTTTTTAAAAGAAGTCTTGTTAAGCTCGTCAAGGCTGCTCATTGCTCTTCTTTTAAAAAAGCCTCTAACACTAGCTTTCTCTATTCTATCTATTTTTTTCTTTTTATTTATTATATCACTAACAAAAAAAGCCTTGCTACATGTACTGCGTTAGGCTATGCATATTATTACACACTTGCATAATAATATGCAAGTGTGCTTCCATTGTCCTCATTTGTGAGTCGCTTTGGAAAAAAGAGTCTGCTAAGTGACTAAATGTAATGTAAATGTAAATAAAAAAAAAAAATAAAAAAAAAAATCTTACTGACACCAAGTATAATGTGTAGAGTATAACGTGTTTTTTTAAAAATTCTAAACCAAAGCCATGGAGCATGACATCGTATGCTGTTGCTTATATATGTTCTTGGGTCTGAAATATTTTCACATACTAAAAATCTAGTGTAATCTCCACATAAAAGCAAAATTGCTTATAAAGTGAAAAGATGGTGGCCTACATGTCCACATACTTTTTGGAGTCACTACATTTGACTGACACAACGCTTTCGTTGTGCTATTCAAAAGTTTACAAAACCCCGATGAATGGTCAGACGTTAGTATGTCGGGTCAGATATCAGGTAAAGAAAATCTCAGGTCCCCATCCTCAGGTGGCAGGCGGTCACATTGGCTCGACGGGGACTGTGCAGTGCAGGAATGTAGGCCAGGCAGACGGTGCGGCCCAACCTCACCACTGCACACAGGGGAGTAACAAGCAAAAATAACCTCCTTCTCTCCTTGTGTTTCCACAGCCCGCCATTCTCCCAGAACAACCGGGACAACAATTACCTGAACCTCAACTATGAATACAAAGGTGAGGTGGACATGAGCAATGAATATGGATTTCTATCAGAGCTGTGGGCTTGTATTTATGGTCTCTGCTCCATTATACAGCTGGTTCTCTATGACAGGGGCAAAGGTGCTTCCTTTGAGCTGTCGACTGTGGTCACTCTGTGTTGCTAATGGGGCGTCACGTCAAAACAAGACTCTACATTTGCAGTCCTGTTGAATGTGGCTGTGATTGTACCTCTGTTCCCAAACATAGTGAGCTGCTTTGATGTTACTGCCTAGATAGGCAGCTGTCTTCTAAGGGAGCATCCTAACAGAAATGGAGCCTCATTAGTGACTGATTTGGTGTCCTGTACAGGACCTTGTTTTTGAAGCGCATGGGAGATTTGAGTCAAAATTTGTATTTTAATTTGATTTATTTTTATTAATATTTTCTGTACAATTAAAGATATTTATAAAAGTATACTATTATAAATACCTTTAATTGAACAGAAAATATTAGAATAATATTAGAATAATAATATAGAAAATAGTATATTAAAATGCTATAATAGCATTTTAATTAAATAGTATATATCTATATTTTTTAATTATAAAACAATTAACTTCATCCCATTTTTTGTAGATTTTTTTTGTCTTTGCAAAGGATTAAATTTTTTCGGGAATCAAAGTTTCATTAAATATAAGGTTGTTTTTAAAGACTGTCTTAAAGTTCTATTTACTATATCTTATTATTTTTAATACTAATATTATATATCTAATTGGCAATTTATTTTGAGCATAAATTGAGCAAAATGTAATTTAAAAAAATGTGTATATATATGCATGCACACTACTGGTCAAAAGTTTAGAATAATATTTTTTTAATGTTTCAAAAAAAATTTTTTTGCATTTATGCTGCATTTATTTCATCAAAATACAGTGGAAATAGTAGTAATATTGTAAAATATTATTACAATGTAAAATATTTGTTTTCATTACATTTATCTTGCTTTAAGGACATTTAGATATTTAAACTAAAAATAAGACAATATATTGATTTAGAAATAGATTTTTTTATATTATATATCTCTTTTGCAATTTTTTAGCATAAATTGAGCAAAATTTAATAATAAAAACATATATATACTTGCACACTACTGGTCAAAAGTTTGGAATAATATATTTTTTAATGTTTCTAAAAAAAATTATTTTGCATTTATGCTACATTTATTTGATCAAAAATACAGTGAAAATAGTAATATTGTGAAATGTTATTACAATTTAAAATATTTGTTTTCATTACATTTATCTTGGTTCAATGATACTTAAATATTTATACTTCAAAATAAGACAAAAATATTGCTTAAGAAAATTATTATTTTTTTCAGTCTAAAAAAGTCTGTCTTCGTAGGCAGTTCACAGAGTTATAGACCTGTATCGATGGGGAGTGAATGAGATTTTCTCTCTCCTTTTTCCCTTTCATTCCTTTTCTTCTGCTGTGCTGAGAGATTGAAAGTTACTGGAGTGGTTAAACAAGGAGATTTTCTCTCATGTCCTTCCCTGGTTAGTATTCTCTGTCTCTCCTTTGCTCTGTCACTCTCGCTCTCTCCAGCTCTCACGCTCATGCCCAGCTCTCCCTCTGTTGTTTTTCCTCTTGAGCGGCGATCAAATAGAGCAGGCCTGCCTGATAATGAGATAGTAATCTTCCCTAACAGAGGGAGGCCAGTCACACACATATGCACAAAAACACTTTTCACAGAAACTTTCCCTTTTACGCACAAACCATTTATATCTCAGTCTGTTAGAGAATAAAAAGAGCTCTGTGATATTGACAATGTGCGTGTCTTTCCATTGAAGGCCAAGCACACTCATACATGCATTCAGATCCCCAACACTGAGGATTTCTCCATAGAGAGCAGGCCATTTTTTTTCCTCTGGTCTTGTGAGGAGATTTTTCCTCTCTGCGCTCTACTTCTAAACAGAGCAAATCACTGGGTGTCCCTGGGAGACGGGCTGCAAACAGCACATGGGGAGGCAGTCGAGTCGCTCAACAGCTGCTTTCAATTGCATGCGGCATCAGAATGCAGCACTCGTGTTTTAAGCAAGTTGCCTGCTTGTGTTTACGCACAGCCACTTACTCTGTCCTGCTCATTCTTTCCCCTCCTGTTCTTTGTGTCCTTCACTTTCTTTCTTGCGTTCAAATCTTTTTTTCAGTCTCTTTATTTAGAGGACAAATGGGTGAATCACAATGCCTGCATTATATTATTGGAGGAACATTGCTTTTTTTGACATTATTTTCATGGCAGTTAATAACTTTTTTGTCAATTCATTTTTTTTTTTTTACAGTTTAAAATATTAAAAGAAAGAATGTATTATTATTACTTGTAATGGATTTACTCAAAACAAACCCTCTAGCATGACACCATATCACAGTGCTTATATTTAATGCATGTCTCAAAATAATTTAGCAAAATAATTTTTCATGACAATTAAACATTTTTTTTGCCAGATTCCATGTAATTTTATGGGGGTAAAACGACTGTAATACATAATACAGAAATCATTCTGTCTGGGCAGATTTTTTTATATTAGTACTAAAAAATTAATGTACTTATTAAATTAGTACTTATTATATATTATTATTCATATTTTATATATATATATATATATATATATATATATATATATTTATTTATTTATAATGTGTGTGTGTGTGTGTTAGTAATCTATTATAATGCAAAAAATCTCTTTCTTATTACTGAAATTATATATTGGAATGAAATCTATAAAATATACCGGGGAAATTTCCTTTTTTTTCTTTGTGAGATTTATCCAAATGTATTATTTTATGTAATTAATTAAGATTTTGCATTACAGTAATGCAAATAAGATTTTTTTTGCATTACAATAAACTACTAAGAATCGCTTATATATACATTGGACATTTCCTTAGTTTTTGTGAGATTCAGCCAAATTGAACCATTTTCACATAAGCTGGACATGAAATTCAGTCTCATAGCCATATGTTCTGTAGTGCAGTAGACAGCTCAGTTGTTTATAATGGGAGTGTTCTAGTTTTGTCGCTTTGAATGAATGAAGTGTCATGTGGTAAAGAGCTCCTCACTACAGCAGGCCCTGCTTATCTGATTTCATGAGGTTTCCCTCACAGTTTATTCAAGTGACTGCACGCACAAAGTCACGTATCTTAATATCAAATGCTCTAATCAGTTTCATTATCAATATTTGCTTATTATTTGCAATATATTGCTTATTTGCAATATTTGCATCTAACTGGTTTGTATGTAACTGCTCCACCTGCAGGGCGTCAAGGGAAACACGGGACCTTCCCACGCCAGTTCCACATGTCCAGTCGCAGTAAAGACTATGGTGACGGTAAGCTGTCCTTTACCAGAACAACTGTGCTATTTATAACTATAGAAAACAGCTACTGTGTGTATGTCATTAATTATTTTAAAATTATTTATGAACTTTATTATTTACGTTTTTTTTTATTTGAGACTTGATTTAAACTGAGAGCTTACATGTAAATCAAGTTGAATAACCAAAGTTCATGATGCTGAAAAGAGTTATAATCTATTGTTGTTATTGCTTTGTATATTATTTTTAAATAAATCATTGAATCTAAAAATAAATAAATAATATAATGTATAATTTATAATGTAATTATAATATATATATATATTTAGTTATTTATTGTTATTATTAATTCTGAAACTTTCTGAAAACGCAATGAGAGTTAGTAGTTTCTGTCTGAGTTTGATGAATTTATTCTAAACAAATGGTATCACATATGTTTTGTTTCTCTTTTATAATTACACCATTATTTTTTCACAAAGTAACGATGCAAGTCTGCATGAAAACTGGTGTCAAGAGCAAAAACTTCAGTCTGGTATTTGGAGCCTCTCCTCAATTCTCAGAGCGCCTAATTAGTAAATTAATTCTTTGGTTAACATTTAGCGGATGCTTTCTTATCCAAAGCAAGTCACAATTCGCTAATTGCATTCACCGTCCCTCTGGATTGTGTTAGCGTGGAGGGCATCGCTCAATGGCACAGAAAAGGACTGTGTTCTTGCTGATTCTCCTACTTGGAATCAAACATGCGTTTGCAGCCTACATCCATAAATTGTCTGCCACAACCAAAATACAAAACCCATTTTCATCTAGAAGGCTAGTTTATGATGATTTGATGCTGTTACACAGGTGCTGATATTTTCAACAGGGATATTACAAATTCCTTACATTATATGCAGTGCTGGAGGCAGATAAAGATGTGCATATGGTCAACATGATTTGAGTTTCCCCAGAACTCGAGAAATGTATTAAAGATTTAGTGTGTGTGTGTTTTATTTGTGTTTCCCCTGATGGGGCACACTGACTGTTGCAAAACACTGTACTGAGAGGAGCTTCCTGCCTTGTGGAAAGGTTGATGGAGGAAGTGAGAGACAAAGGAAAAGAAGAGCGTGAGAGAGAGAATTAGGGAATGGGAGGAAGAGGAATATAAAGATGTTTGGACATGTTGATTGCATGTGCCTTAAAGCATGAAGAGATGATTCAGAACATCTGAATTCTGCAAAGATTTAATTAGTTTATAGGGAATGTTATTTGTGCATTTGGTAGATGCTTTTACCAAAGCAGATTTGAGTGTTTTTAAGGTAACAATATATCATGTGTGTTCCTGGGAGTCAAACCTATGATCTAGATGTTGTTAGTGCCATTCTATAAAAATGAAAAAAGAAAAAAAAAACTTGAAAACTAAATGTGCACAAATGTATATTAAAAGTGGGAAAACTGGAAATATCAAGCAAATTTAAAATTGTGATTTAAAAAAATAAAAATGAACACAATTTTATATATAACTTATTAATACAACTTAGATATAACTTTTTAATACAACTTTTAAAAACTCAGTATACAGTAATAAAAAAAAACGGGGAAAGTCTCCAAAAAGATCATGGAAATGTATTGGTCAAAACTCTAAAGGTGTATTTGTATTTTGTATCATGTGTAAACTCAGTATACAGTAATAAAAAAAAACGGGGAAAGTCTCCAAAAAGATCATGGAAATTTATTGGTCAAAACTCTAAAGGTGTATTTGTATTTTGTATCATGTGCGCCTAAAATATGTGTTTGTATGCAGGTCGAAGGACCTTCCCTCGAAGCTTTATGCCTCAAGAGAACCTGTTTCAGCTGGTCCCATCCAGCCGTACACGCAGCTATAATGGAGAAAGCACCATGCTGTACAGTGGAGATCTGCACTCCATCAGCTGGACTGAGAAAAACAGCCAACGCAACACTCCTAAATGTAAGAGCACATACATGCATACACATGAGGACACTTATGCAGACCATTAGAAAAGAAAACGTTATAAAGCACATTTACACACTTGCCTTCAGACCAGAAGTGTCTGGTTGTAGCGTAACCATGAACAACTCTGAATCTGTAGCACCATAGCAAAATAAATCATATTTAACCTGAGTTGTCAATGTGAGTTTGATGTGTATATTGAATGTAGCATGAGAAAAAAAAAAGACTGTAAAGCAAAATAATGACAAAAACTTTCTATTGAATTGTCCTTGCAGGCTGCATGCAAAAAAATAACATGATCAGTTAAATCCACAAGCAAGTGACTCTCATGAACTGTTCTGTTTAGGGAATCAGAAGTATACAGCTTGACCAGTGTAGTCTGATTCACAAGCCAATGACTCTTATGAGCTGTTGTCTTTAAGGCATCAAAGGCATACAGCTCAACCAGTGTAGTCTGATTCACAAGCAAATTACTCTCATGAACTGTTGTCTTTAGGGAATCAGAAGCGTTTAGCTCAACCAGTGTAGTCTGATTCACAAGCAAATGACTCTCATGAACTGTTGTCTTTAGGGAATCAGAAGTGTTTAGCTCAACCAGTGTAGTCTGATTCACAAGCAAATGACTCTCATGAACTTTTGTCTTTAGGGAATCAGAAGCGTTCAGCTTGACCAGTGTAGTCTGATTCACAAGCAAATGACTCTCATGAACTGTTGTCTTTAGGGAATCAGAAGCATTCAGCTCGACCAATGTAGTTTGATTCACAAGCAAATGACTCTCATGAACTGTAGTCTTTAAGGAATCAGAAGTGTTCAGCTCGACCAGTGTAGTCTGATTCACAAGCAAATGACTCTCATGAACTGTTGTCTTTAGGGAATCAGAAGCGTTCAGCTCGACCAATGTAGTCTGATTCACAAGCAAATGACTCTCATTAACTTTTGTCTTTAAGGCATCAAAGGCATTCAGCTCAACCAGTGTAGCCTGATTCACAAGTAAATGACTCTCATGAACTGTTGTTTTTAGGGAATCAGAAGCGTTCAGCTTGACCAATGTAGTCTGATTCACAAGCAAATGACTCTCATGAACTGTTGTATTTAGGAAATCAGAAGAAGCTTACAGCTCGTTCAGTGTAGTCTAATTCAGAAGCAAGTAACTCATATGAACTGTTCTCTTTAGGGAATCAGAAGTATACAGCTCGACCAGTGTAGTCCGTTTGCGGAAACAAATGACTCTTATAAGCCAGTTCATTTCATGACTAGATCTAAAGGATTTGAATTTCCTTTGAGTTAACCGTTTGAATCAGTCTTAAACACTGTCCTGTATAACTTACAGCAGTAGTGACAAGAAATTGGTTGAACTTAAGAATGTGCAAGCGAAATGGACATTTTAACTGAAACATATTTAAATAAATTGGAATCTTATAAATTAGAATTTAATCAAATCAGAGAATCTGTAACTAATCTCTTTCAGTTAGCTTTAGTCATAGAGAAAGAAACTATAATTATATACACATTGTTACCATTCGATTTTGTTCATACTTCCCGCCTCTATTAGAGATGATGAATAAACCCAGCTCTGCGTGGTTTGTGCTGTGCTCTTGTGTGTTTGAGCTCTGCAGTCTGCAAACAGGTTCTTTAATCAGCTCCATTTCCTCAGAGGAATCCAGGACAGGCGCCTGAGTTTGACTTATGAACATGGATGCTTGTCTCTACTGTCTGCCTGCGGGTTCTTTCCCCCCAATGCCTCCATAAACTATTCAGATAGCTTCATGTCAAATGTCATTATAGGAGCACTAAGCTGATTAAAATGATCGTAAATGCTGACGCAAAAGTGTCCATCATAGAATAAGTGGGAAGTGAGTCGGAGAGATGCGTAAATCTTGGCTGGTGACTGGTATTTCTCAGACTTGGGTGTAGTTTAACTGCATCCAGACTTGAAGTTCTTCTATCTATGATTAGATCCATACAGCATGTTTATAGAGCAATAGCAGCAGACACAGATTGTATTATTATGTGTGTGGCTCATGATAGCAATCAGTCATGAGAGAACCATAAAAAAGAGATTCAGATATTGCCAAACACAAGATGTTGTATTAGTGTTAGAAAAAAAACACGCCCTGAAGGATTTGCTTCAGTTCGACGCGGCCTTGATTTAAAGAAGTAATATTCAGGTGTTTAATATTTAGTCTTTAATAACTTGCAGCGGCTGCCAATAGTTCACTGTCTGCCTCTCTGTTCATTTAAATCCTAGTTTATTGCCTGAAAGGGGAACAGTTGCAAATCAATCTGAAAGTGTAAATCTGTATAGTAATACAGTTGCGGTTTGACTCGGGAGTCGTCAGCGAGTCTGTGTGAGTGATTTGGTCTGGTTTAAGTTACAGTCTGCGGTTTGCTGGTGAGGTTAACTTGGTTTGTTTCTTCTTACCCTCCTCAGCCCCAAGGGCTCCTGTAAACTGGCGTCAGGGGAAACTGCTCGGTCGGGGAGCGTTCGGAGAGGTCTACCTCTGCTATGATGTTGACACGGGACGCGAGCTGGCGGCCAAGCAGGTGCCCTTTGACCCTGACTGTCAGGAGACCAGCAAGGTAAGTGTGAAGTGGACTCAGATGATGACAGTATTTATTAGGGCTGGGTTTTGACACAAATTTCACAATTCGATTCGATTCTCATTCACAAGCTTGCGATTAGATTCGATTCAATAACGATTATTTTGGATACATATCAGGTACAGTACATGCCAAATTTTCTCAAGGAAAAAAAAAATCTCTCAACTAATGCTGTAAAATGTAAATGAGAGTCAGTTGGTACTACGTTACTATAATATTGAAGGTTAAAATTTACTGATTTGTAGGCTAATATACACTAACCCTTTAATGAAGTTTTAAAATGAGAATCGATTAAAATCGAGATATCTATATTTTTACCCAGCCCTAGTATTTATGCTCTGTAGAGATGTTGTGCTTACTTGTCTCTTGTCTGTCTCCACAGGAAGTGAATGCACTGGAGTGTGAGATCCAGCTCTTGAAGAATCTGTGTCACGACCGTATCGTGCAGTACTACGGCTGCTTGCGTGATCCGGTGCAGAAAAAGCTGTCCATCTTTGTGGAATTCATGCCCGGGGTGTGTATACTGTTATGTTTGTGTTTGCTCTGTGTTGATGCAGCTCATTGGAGGTATTTGGAGATCACACACATTAGATTCAGCCCCTTAGTGTCTATTATTATTTTGTTATTTTCAGTTTCAGTTAATGTAGACTTCATGCATACTGTGGAATGAATAAGAAAACAGTCTTTGGGTAAATTCACCATACTACTACTTTTGCGTGACTATTTTAGTACAAAAATATGTTTCTTATTTACTGTCCATTGACAATCTTTATGAACAAGTTACTCTTATGAACCGGTTCATTTTAGTGAATCAAAACAAATAGCCTGTCCAGTGTAGCTCGATCCACGAACAAATGACTCTAAGAAACCGGTTCTTTTTAGTGAATCAAGACATACAGCATGACCAGAGTAGCCTGGTTCATAAACAAAAGACTTGTATGAAACAGATGCTTTTGGTGAATCAAAACATAAAGCACATCCAGTGTACCCCAATTCAAGAACAAATGACTTGTATGAACCGGTTCTTTTTAGTGAATCAAAACATGAACAGTATAGCCTGCCTGATTAATAAACAAATGACTCTTATAAACCAGTTCCTTTTAGTAAATCAGAACATGCAGCAAGACAAGTGTATTTTGATTCATGAAAAATGATTCGTATGAACCAGTTCGTTTTACTGAATCAAAACATACAACAAGACTAGTGTATCTTGATTCAAGAACAAATAATTCTTATGAACTAGTTCCTTTTAATGATTCATACATGCAGCAAGACTGGTGTATCCTAATTCATTAATAAATGACTCTTATGAACCAGTTTATTTTAGTGAATCAAAACATACAACAAGACTAGTGAATCTTGATTCAAGAACAAATGATTCTTATGAAATAGTTCCTTTTAATGAGTCATACATACAGCAAGACTGGTGTATCCTAATTCATTAATAAATGACTCTTATGAACCAGTTCATTTAAGTGTATCAAAACATACAGCAAGAACAGTGTAGCCTGATTACTAAACAAATGACTCTTATGAACCAGTTCATTTTAGTGAATCAAAACATACAACAAGACTAGTGTATCTTGATTCAAGAACAAATTATTCTTATGAACTAGTTCCTTTTAATGATTCATACATGCAGCAAGACTGGTGTATCCTAATTCATTAATAAATGACTCTTATGAACCAGCTCATTTTAGTGAATCAAAACATATAACAAGACTAGTGAATCTTAATTCAAGAACAAATGATTCTTATGAACTAGTTCCTTTTAATGAGTCATACATACAGCAAGACTAGTGTATCCTAATTCATTAATAAATTACTCTTATGAACCTGTTCTTTTTAGTAAATCTAAATATACTGCACAGATAGTGTATCCTGATTTACACACAAATGACTCTTGTGAACTGGTTCTTCTAAGTGAATCAGAACATACAGTGTGACCAGTTTACCCTGATTCTTGAGACAACTCTTATGAGCCGATTCTTGTAATGAAAAGATGAGTTACTGGTTTGAATCCATTTGAACTACGAATTTTCTTTTATATGTAAGCAAAATCGACAAATGAATCAGTTTCAAATCAAATTGAATTGAAATTGGAATTTAAACAAAACAACTGAATCCGAATCAAATTGAATCAGGAAATGTGTATTGATACCCTGTCTTATTTACTTCACCAAATCAGGTTCTAAAAAACATGGATAGCGTATGTGGAAAAAAACAACAACAACAACAACAACTGTTACTGGCCACATTTTCAGTGTCTCTTTGTGTTTTAAGAAAATGACATTGTTAAACTTACAATGAATCTGCGCTTTCCAAATAATGAGCAAACCCACTCCAAAATGTCACTGGCTCGTGAATGTATCCACAGTGTTCTTTGTCAGCACAACCGCACGGCTTTACAAGTTCATTTTCTCGGCAAATGGGTGTCTTAACGAGCGTCAGACGTGGTCTGTCCCATCCATCAGCTCCATTTTAATATGCACAGACTCGCGGTGTCTTAGTCACATATTGTCTGGTAAAGGGGAATGTTTCACCAAGGTCCCTGGCAGACAGATGCATCGCTTCTCAGAGCCAGAGCCACCAGCCTCTGAACAGCACTGCTGCATCCTGATAAGAGCAGAGGTGAAGGGAACAGACAAAGAGAGAACAAGTTTGAATGAGTAGGATGTGGAATAGGGTTACGTGAGGGGAGAAATATATTGCATAATGAGGGATCAGAAGATCGCTAGAGCCTGTAGGAGTGTATTACAGTAGGATTACATATGCGGTACACATTGTTTCGTTTTAATAACTTGAAAAGGACATTGTGATACTTCATAATAAAAAATTACTGCTTTGAAGGAGCTCTGCAAATGTATTATTGCTTGGAAGGCATTGTGGTTTCTCTCATTGTAGTTTGCGTCACAGGTGTTTCATGATGTTGTCCTTTGAGGAGACATTGTTTCTTCGGCGAAGGGGTGTAAACAGGAAAGCTGAGGAAATATGAACTTTGCTTGGGCCAGTGTTTCAAAGAAACACAGTCACATGTGAGAAACGTTTGGCACTATGATCTGTTTTTCCAGAAAGTTAAAAAAAAGTTCAGTGTTCTGACGAACCATACACTTCCAGCTCCACTTTTGTGAACACATCTGAGTGTGACTTCCTGACACACTGCAAATAATATAATATAATATAATGCTGTGAAAAAGTATATGCATTAGTGTGGTCAAATGATTAATCGCGATTAATTGCATCCAAAATAAAAGTGTTTGTTTACATTATATATATATATATATATATATATATACGCGTGCTGTGTGTATTTATTATGCATATATAAATACACACACATGCATGTATATATTTCAGAAAAATATGTTATGTAAGGAATAATTGACTCCGGGCCGTTGAATTATTAGAAAAATAATGCACACTCGAGGTTGCACGTTACACCTCGGGTGTGCATTATTTTTCTGTACTATATACTGTCTTTTTACGCGTTGCGTTGCATTGCACTGCGCCGCGCCGCGTAAACATAAAACCCTGTCTGCATTTGTGATCAGAGAAATGACAAACAACAAGTGCTACTCTACACTGCCCAAAACTCGCGTTTGAATCATCAGTGGCAAATCCTTTAAATGAAAACGTACTTACGTGAATCAGAAGTGCCGGCATTTTAGTCTAACGTTACTCTCCCAGGATCAGTAAACAGTCCTCCATAAAATGTGCTGCACACATCTGGATATTTGGGTTAAACTGTTCTGGAACAGTGTTGTAAATACAACTTAACCACTGATTTGTAGTCGTGTCCTCTTTTGGAAGACCAAACAAAGTAGTTTCGCTTTCAAAACGAAAAACACAGCGGCCTAGCATGAGCG